TTCCTAACATCATTTGCATTAATATCACCAAATCATTCAAAAATGAATTTCTGCCAAATGTTTAACAAACATCAAATCAAACTTTTTAATGTTCAAAAACAGACGTTTTATTAGCAGATTTTCAAAATTTATCAAATCAATTTATAATTCCACTTCTATAAACTTCCACAGAAATCCTTTGTTGGAAATAATGTAATTCATCGAAGTATGCACAGATAAAAATTCGTTGGAAATTAATTCGTCTATTTGCATTAAAAATGGAGAAAAGGAAGTAGTCATAGAAAATACTTCAAACGATTGTAGAATTGTTTTTACTAAAAAATAAAACAGTTTTAGCATTTTGATGGAGACCGATGAAAAACAGTTTTCCGACAATTATCGAATGATTGCTGTTGATCTTTAATATCTCGACCACAATTGGGTGTAATACAATAAACAAAATAAGCAACAAATTTTCAAGATTATTGAAAAAGAAGAGAGTAGGGAAACTTAAACAAAGTAATTAAGTAAGTAAGTATGAGACCTGTCGACCCTCACTGTTGACAATGAAAAAAAGGAAACAGTGATGAAGGGTTGAACAAATTAAGAAACAGACAAATTAATTTTCCGTAAATATTAACGTCAAATTATGTTTGCATTCCCCAATAACAAAGAAAAGCGATCATTTCATTTCATTAAATGCAAAAAAAAGAAAATATTGACAGTTTGTTACGGAATTAAATCATGTTGTCTTATTGGGTTATGAAAAAAAAAGGTCGCAAATTAATTAAGAATTAATGGATTCGAACGATTTTATCATATAATTAAATGAATGCCAGAATAACTCTGAATTATGATGGAAAAACAAAACCCATCCCTTTGAATCTCTCTCGTATTCATTTTATTCATTACTTTGCGCTTTTATCGTCCCATTTTATCACTGTTTTCTTTGATCGAGATTTTAGGAAGAAACAGGGTTGAGATTTATGGAGAATCCGGGATTTTTTTACTCAGGAAATTAAAAAGGCCAAAGTATAGTAACTCCGAATAAAAATTACGAAGCCAGCAACATCATTTACAGCTGAGGAGAACTTTTTGTAATTACAAAATCTAATCATATTAATAACCCATTTTTCCTATCATGCCTTTATACCTAATTTCTTTGTTTTTTTTTTTTCAGCAATCAACAGATGTTTTGTTCTTTGAGGCTGCAGTATATTCAAAAAATTAAAAAAAGGATGACGCGAGTCAATTATCTTTGTTTCAAATTGCTAAAAGCTGATTTCCAGAATTGAATAGAGAGAAAGTCGCTTTATTAACAGTTAATTAAATTTCCACGAATAGCATATATGTATTTTTTCAAGAAGAAAAATAACAACAACAGAAACAACAATATCATAAACCGATGTTCCTTTTGCAATTTAATTTTATTATTGCGAAAACATTTCAAGTAAAGGGGAAGAATAGTCCTCTTTTGTTGTCTCTTTTTTTTGTTTCAAAATCAATGTCCGAACAACCATTGCCCGTCCATGCAGTTTGTAATATATAACACGGGGCAAAAAACAAGAAAAGAAACGGAACAAATTTTCAAGCTGAAATAGATCAATTGAAATGTACGCTATACCTCATAAGTTATTAAAAGAACCATTAATTTTTTAAATCAAGGAAGATTTCACTTTTCAAATTAATGAAAAAATCAAACTAATGTTAAAAAGTGAATGACTAACTGATACCCCAGAAATTATGTCATGTAGATTTAGCCTTTAACTAATCCTGTAGTTAAATGCTTAATTTTAGGAAATAATAA